CTTGAACTCTTTATGTGAGGATATTAATGGGTTTGGTAATACAACCTAGCCCAAATTTTACGGAGTGGAGCCAAACATGTACTCAAAGTGACAGTGGCCTTCCAAAATCTTTCTTTAAGAGATTTTTAATACATTTGGTGGGCAAAAATCGAATTATAAATGATATATTTTTTTATCAATTAAAAATTAGATGATTTTACATTGAAAGTTTATTTATTTTATATTCTTTAAATATAAATTTTTCAATGAAACTTTTATTATTAACATAACCTTATAATTAGAGTTGATTGAAGAATAAGCTTTAATCCTAAGAGATTAGTTTAATGATAACAAGCATGTGATTTGTGGATAATTATACGGTCACATATTCTAATCTAATTATGTCGAATATTAGTGCTATATTTAAGAAATATTCTTGTGAATTCTTAACTTAACGTGGATGACCTAACTTTGAGCTAATTGGATAACTAAACTAGATGCATGTAAATTAACTCAAACACCACTTAATCACAATGCCTAAAAGTTGGTTGGAGAAAATACCACTTTATATAAGTAAGTGTTTCAACTGATTGAACTTGCTTTTCAAATAAAATAATTTATTTAAATAGTAGATAATAGATTTTTTAAAAGTTTATAACCAGGTTTATCAGTTTATATCACATTATTTATTTTAAATAAAATAAATATTTTAGTTATTTTTTTTAACTTTTGATAAACCTAAGGTCTAATATGATTAAAATATATCAATAATAGGAGTATATTCGTTGATACTCCAGTAGTATGGGTTTCTTTATTAAAAATAGTAAAAGGTGAAATGGAAATCATAAGAGAGAGAAAATGGTGATTTTTTTAATTTAAAATTTAAATATTTTTTTTTTGTGTCTGTCTTTCTCTTAAAAGGACAGAGTGTTATGTCATTTAAAATGACAAACACTTTTCCCTTAATACAAAAGAAAAATATGAGATAATAGAGAAATCAATTATGTATTATATCAATGAGAAATTATGGGTTTTTTTTGTTATATATATGAATTATTCTTGTAAATTCCTAAGTTAATGCTGATGATCTATCTTTGAGCGGATTGAATAAAGACTAGATGCGTGTAAATTGACTCGAATACCACTTACCACAATATTTTTTTTTTTTTTTTGATAACACTTACCACAATATTAAAAAGAAATGTTGATTGAAGGAAGTGCTTGGATTGATTGAACTTACCTTTCAGATAATAAAAAATTAAAAAATTGATTGAACTCAGTTCTGTAAAATAAATCTTGAGAAATGAATATAAGAGTAGAGTGTTTTTGATTAAAGAAAAAGAAGTAATAAAAAAAATGAGAAAGCAACTATATATAAAAAATAAAAATAATTAAATTTTATAAGAATAAATTGACCTTAATGACAGTTTTTACCACTGTATACATTTTGTAGGGATAGATAAATAAATTTTGACTTTTTTAGAATGAGGCATGTACTTTAAAGAGTAAAGTGTGAATTACAATCGTTGCTTATAAAATAAACGGTTAATATTATGATAAAAATATATTGCATATATATCAAACTATGAAATTATTAAAATATAATTCGGTACTTTATCCTTTAAAGAGGAATCAAATCCATATAAAAGAGAGAGAAAAAGAAAACATTGGGTGCTACTTGGTGGTAGGTGGATGATTATTATTAAATATCAATTTGGTGAAAGTTAATTATTACAAAAGAAAATATAAGGTAATATAGAAATTAATTAGGTATCATATCAACGAGCATTTATGAAGTTTTCCCCCTCTTATATATTAGGTATTTTATTAATTACATTAATTTTCTTGTAATTAATTTTCTAAAATAAATAATATTTTTTTCCTTTTAAGAATATATAACTAATTTTATATTTCGTATCTATTATAATTAATGTAATACTAAAAATGGTTTGCTGGGTAGAGCCTCCACATGGATCCACAAAGGTTAGTGTTGGTTGCAGTTGTCCAGTAGAAGGAACGCAACTAAGCTTTCCCGAGCAGTTGTCACTGGTGGAGTCTCGTGTACAAGAAATCCTCAAATTGTGTAATTAACTATAATTACCACAAGTTCTGTGTATTAAATTAATAAATAATTTATTTTATGTTAAATAATTAATTTAATATTCGGAGAACAATCACATTATATTTAAAATAATAATATATCAATTATATTTATTGGTTTATTGGTTGTCTGAATAAATCATGCATGTAGAATAAATTTAGGGAAATCATTTGGTAATGTTACATAAAATGCACTGTTGCTTCCTGCACATAGATCGATATATATAAAAATCTCTTTTCACGTACCTTCTCTGCTAGATTTAATTTTTTTTATGATAAGGTATCCAAAAAAGAAAGAATTTTTTTTATAATAGGAGACAAAAATAAAATATTAAAGTTTTAAATATTATTAGGATTAATAAAACAGGCAAACTATTATAAGTATTATCGATGAAGGGATAAACTATTCATTAGTTCAACTGTAGCATAAGTTTCGCTTATTTAATATTTTAAATTAAGAGATTAGTATTTTTTATCTTTTTAAAAGATATGTCATTTAAAAAGAGAGAAAGAGATAGATAGTAAAAATCACAGGGGAAGAAATTGAGATTTTTTTAATTTAAATTTTAAATAAAAAAACATTACTTTTATTTAAAAGGACCATAATTTAAAAAGACAACCACTTTTTCCTTAAATTAAATATTGTTATACCCGCTCCAGAATCATTACAAGTGAATGTCACTTTTTCTTTAGATTTTCTAAATGAATATTAGATAAATCTCCCGTGAAGTAGACATATCTTGAACTTGCTCTTAATTTTTTTTTTCTTTCCTTTGTTTTTATAAGTTGGAAAGTGTACCTAGGAGTGCTTGCGGTCTGGATTGTATCGGTTTAGGAAACAAAAATCATCCGATTCAATCCCTTCGGTTTGATTATATAATCATCTATTCAGATTGAATTGTTTTCAAATCCAATCCAATTCGATTCAATTTTTATCGGTTTGGATTGGATTGGTTTTCGATTTTTTGAAAAGCCTAAAATTTGTTTCATGATTATTGTGCAAATAACATATCTTATGGCTTTGTAAAGTTTTATTTTTTTTAAAATGCAGAAGCATTATTAAATGATAATATAGTTTTATTTTTGACAATGAGATATGAAGCTCTACACAGATGAAATTTTGTTAATGAGATGTGACTAAGTTTTTTATTGGATTTAGTTGATGGATTAATGGGTCTTGGGTTTAGAATTTTTTGGACTATGATTGGAGAAAGATCCAAGTAGGTAAATGGGAACTAATATATTGGATTAGATCGATTTTTATCAACCAAACCGAAATCCGATCTAATCTAATTAAAATTTGTAATTTTTTTTTATTTTCAATTTATTCGGGTTCGGTTACCATATGCACCACACAATCTTCAGCGCAAAATACATATGTTAAACGCATCCATTTTCAGCTTCATATTTTTCTATTTAAATACAATTCTTCAACCATTATAAATTTATAATGCCTCATTAATTTACATATATCAGAAATTCGCCAATACATTTATTACTTGGCCATGATTCTATAAATTTGGTCTGACAAATTATCACATAATTATTATTTTTGATTATTTTAAAATAAATATAATATATTAAGAATTTTGTGCGCTGATACTCTCCCCGTTACTTTGCTACGGGCTAATTGCGTAACAAAATTGAGCTATTTTCTATTTTTTTAAGTCGTTGCTAAAACTTTGTCTTCGTGCTTGTTTGTAATGTCTATAAATTTTTTGTGTCAATTTATCACATAATTGTTATTTTTAAATTCTGAGTAATTTATAACATTAAGAAGGAAAAGAATCAATTTTAGACTTGTACAATGATAATAAGTTTTATATTCAATCTTAATTATTAATTTTATTTATATTTAACGATTCATATGACTAATATATTCGAGTTATCCTAGTAGAATTAACAACTAATAATGAATATAAAATATATACAAAATCAAGTTGATTCTTGCCCTATTCGAGTTATCCTAGTACTATATATTACAATCTTACTTGACTTTAAAATAATGGTAATTCAGTTGGCATCAGGAAACTGAGCAGCTAGGAAGTGAGAGCATGTATTCGATCCTTCTCAGTACTATTTTTGAGAAAAATTTAAAGCCTTAATCCCGAGACACGTCCTGAATTAGACTAGTCGCGAAGCGATGAATCGATTGGATATCTCAAAAAAAAAAAATCCTACTTGACTCTTTCAGATCAATCAAGTAAATGTGTTTAAATTAATTTATCTTCAGTTCAATAAAATTATCACTTGAAAAAATAAAAAAAGATTAAGAGTTTGTTTGGCGTATTTTTTAGTTAAAAGCTACTTTTAAACTAAAGTTTAAAAAATAAAGTTAAAAGTGGTTGATAATTATATAAAGTTATTCTCAAAATTTTGAAGGATCAGAGACAAAATAATTTATTATTAGGACAAATAATAAAATTTGTACATACAAGTTTAGAATAAGAGTGAAACTATAAAATAAATATGAAAACTCCAAAAAAATAAAATAATAAACATCTTAAAAAAGAGGAGCTTTTAGCTTTTTTTGTTACATACATTTTTTTGTTTAAAAATTAAAAATTAAACAAAATATGACTAGTTTTCTAAATACACACCAACCTTCTCATCTATTGATTTGATCATACATCTTAAAATATTATATTTCTTTATCCTTTATAGATGGAAATTCATTTATATAATACTTAATTGGAAAGTCTCTTTAATTACTCATTTTTGTGCTAAGACAATGCACATGGTGCCCCACTAGTAGTGTGAACCTAAAATGAATGCCACTAGCAATTACTTGCTCTAAATTCTATCTTCTTATATCTAAAATTTCTCTATATAAATAACAACAACTGGTGTAAGAAAGCACATCAAAAAACATTTTCTCAATTTCCTTCTTTCACCTTTGTTTCTCTTTTGTGATCATTACCATGACTAGAAAGAAGGTGGAGCTTACATACATAACCAATGACTCGAAGAGGAAGGCAGCATTCAAGAAAAGGAAAGATGGTTAGAGATTAGTTTCTTTAATTTTAATTTATATAAACATGTGTTAGCCTTGTATCATAAACATATCACCATGCAGTAAAATCTCACTTTCTCTAAATTCTCTTTATGAATCTTGTTATGTTTCTCAATAGGTTTGATGAAGAAGATTAATGAAATCAGCACCCTTTGTGGGATTGAAGCTTGTGCTATTATCTATGATCCAAATGATCCTAAGCCAGAGGTTTGGCCATCTCCATGTGGAGTTCAAAGTGTGGTGTCCAGGTTCAGGAGAATGCCTGAAGTGGAACAGAGCAAAAAGATGCTGAATCATGAGAGCTTCTTGAGGCAAAGGATCCAAAAAGCCCAAGAGCAGCTGAAGAAACAAATAAATGAAAACAGGAAGAAAGAGATGACCCATCTCATGTTTCAATACTTGGGTGCTGGGAAGATTTTTGACAATGCTAACATGACTGATTTGAATGATATCTCATGGTTGATTGATCAAAACCTGAAGGATATTGAACGAAAGATCAATCAAAGCCAAGCCCAAGAGGGGACATTAGTGGCTGAAAATGGATCTGAAACTGTGAGTGGAGAAAAGCAAGTACACATGGATCATGACCAAGGGCTAGAGACCAACATGGACGCCATGCAAAAGCAGAATTGGTCTATGAACTTTATCAATGGTGGTGGGGATGAGATGCTACCATTTGGAGCTGATATTGTCCAAAGTGGCCTATGGCCTAACCCATAAGTCCCTTGAAAATTTGTGTTAATAAAAATGAATCCCTTATGTCTTGTTTTAACATGACCGTGATCATGTGAGAAATTCAGTCATTCATGAACATATTAACAATCATAGTTTTGATGACAATGTTCATGAGATGAAGAGAAAATGATCATGTCAATTGCTGACTATTGATCTATCGTTGAATGACTAACATTTTTTTATATGACATGATCATATTAAAATAAGATATAAGATGATTCATTCTTGTTCTTTTTATAATATTTCAAGAGTCTCTTTCCGTGTCAATTGTCTAATGTTTGGTTTTCATTGTTTTTGTTTTAAAATGTGTCTATGTTAGACACATTTATTTTCTGTTTGCAAAACATATATCTGGCCTTTGATGTTTATATATAAAAGTGTTACCTTTTGGTGATCAATTCAATAAATAGAGACTCTCTTTGTGTGGGTTTCAATGATTTGGTACTGACGTTTATTAAGAATGATACAATCGAAAAAAAGGAGAGGATCCTATCCCCTTTCCGTAAATCATTTCAGTATGTCGCTCACTCCATATAGTTTATAAATTTATTGTCATAAACTTAATTAGATCGTATGAATCTATGACTAGGGGCTTTCAAATATAAATAATGTAATATCATGAAAAAAAACAATGAATTAAAATATGAATTATATAAATGGCTTGAAGGCCTGAAACATTTTTAAGATGTCATACTTTTTTTTTTTTTTTGGAGTTACCCAACCCTAATTACCTCTTTGAGGCGAGTTGGCTCTTTCCGGTATCCCCACAAGATTCGACTCTTTGAGCCGGCTATGGGACTAATCCGGAGTGCGGGAGTCAGTGATAGCTAAAGGTTCAGCACCCTCCCCAAGAATGCATTCAGCGGGAATCGAACACATGTCCAACCCCACTAACTCAGCGCCAAGGAACCAACTAGTTAAGATGTCATACTTTAGTTCATCATGATAAACTTATAAATATTTAATGTAGTTTAATAATAGTTAAAAAAAATTTAAAACGACTTCATTCGCGGTTAAAAGAATCGCAATTGATATAATAATATTGATTTACGATTTATTTATGCATAATGTTTAAATTATGCATTTATCTAAATCTCAGTTTAGCCTAGTCTTGACTTAATCATTGGTCTAATCTTGATATGCGTTCATATATAATTTTTGTAATATTGTGAGGAAAGAAATTATATTATATTATCTTTATGTTTAAAAAAATTAGCTTCACTTTTTACACAATGGATATCTTTTTACAATTTTATAATTTTTATTAGACAATTTTTTTAAAAAAAATACATATTTTGACTTATTTATGTTGTCAATTATATTTGTCATTCTTTTTCTTAAACACACATCTTTTGTACTTAACAAAATCGTTATTTTAGAGAGGATTTTATCTAACTAGTAATCACCGCACTACCGGCCTCTTCAAATAAATAAATAAATAAATACACATTTTGCCATTTTTTAAGTTTTTTAAAACCAAAAATTGTTAATCTAAAACTTGCTTTTGTTTTCTTGATCAATAAGTGGATATCAATTGACGCCTAATGAATGTGTTCTCCATATCACAAAAACGATTTTTTTTTCTTATTACTGTTTGACACCTTGTTTGCTGCATTTAGGTAATATTTTGGCTATTTATAAATATTTATATAATTTCAAGTAGCAGATTAATTTGGCCCGTCCATTTGAACAAATATTCTCTTCTTTCGTTATTCACGAATTCGTAAGTCTTCTTCCACCATCAATCTTATTTGGATTATCATCCAATTTTTAAGTTTTGGGTTAGTAAATACATCATTATGGTAAAAAAAATATGTTATGAATTTGTTTCTTCGCTAAAAGAAAAATATGTCTTTTAGTCACGATACTTTAGCCATGGGTATCAAAGCGTGAAAATATTTAGAAAACCCAAATCCACTACACAATTACGGACATCAGATCAGAGCAAAATCACGCACAAAATGTTTTATCTACCTCTATCCATTTTCCAAATAAAAACAAAACTTCTTCCTTTTTCCTTTATCTATTCTATTGTAAAGACCAAGCTTGTGTTTTCTAGTTGCGGTCTAATAAGTGTCAAATATACTATGCTTTTAATATTAAATATGGTTCAAATAATAATTAAAATAATTTAAAATATAGTATTAATTAAATAAAATATTCAAAGATAGTAAATTGCCAACAAATAGATAAAATCCTAATCATTGTTGTTGTTTCAGGTTGTTTCAGACTAGAATAACAAATCACTAACCTGATAAGGATGAGGAGGCAGTTGGCATCGGCTGAATATCAAGAAAAATATGAAATTAAATAAATATAAAAATATTCGGTCAAGCTCGCTCCACTGCTCGCTTCAGCGAGCAAGTGAGTAAGGAGGAGAAAATTGCTCGCTGAGCAACTCACTGTAGCGAGCTGGTCCAGAATTCGAAGCCCAAATTTTCCCTTTAAATACAACGCGAGCAAATATGTGGCTTATTTCGGAACGCGAAGAAAGAAAGAAGTCAGAGACGAAACGAAAGTCGTGGCAGAAGAGGAACACTGGCAAAGGGGAAGGAAGGAAGCAATTTGCATCATTGATCGTATTAATTAATCAAGTTTCATCATGAACTTTATTTATTTTTCAGTATCTTTAAATTCTGTTTTTAAAATTATGCATAGTTAAATTCCTGTTATTAGTTAAGATGAGACCGAACCAATGGGTTCTTAATTGATGTTTACCTTTCTTATGATTCACATTCTGGATTTTAAATTATGCAATCAATCTGATATTTATGATTAGCTTTATTTATGACTTGATCACTCGTAGATAAACATATGAGTTGTGCATGACAGTAGGGATGTTGGTGTATGATTCTGATTGGTTGATTGCTGGAATTTGTATGATCTAGGGATAGACTTATGAATTCTATAACTGTAGGTTCTTGCGTTAATGCTTATTTTATGAAAAAGTACTAAGGGATTACACTACAACAATCTCTGCATTTAAAGGCTGTTGGTTTGACGTTCAGAGGCGGTTAAAACCGCCTTGAAATAGTTCGATCGGCGGTTGAACATCCGCATCTGATATGACTGTCGAGATGGCAAACAAAGGCGGTTAGGGAAAAACACTGGAATATCCGCCAGAAGAATACAAGGGCGGCTATTAAGGCGGATAAAGTCGACGTAGATTATTCCAAAAATAAGGAAAAACTGATTTCAAGGCGGTTAGACGAACCGCCTCCTAAATCAATATAGCGGTGTTTCATGTGGTGGAATGAGAGGTCGGAAATTATTTGAAAACAAATGCAAAAATTAGTCCTGGCAATTGGTTAACCGCCTCAGAGTATAGTATTTATTTTTTATAAAAAAGATAAAATAATTTTTTTTTATTTCTTTAAAAAAAGGTGAAACATATTTATTTTTTAAACGTATTTATTTTATTTTGAAAAAATAAAAAATCACCACGTACTACCACACACATCTGAAACGTATTTAATTTTTTTTTTAAAAAGTGAAATTGTTTTTAATAAATTATTTTATTTGAAAAATCCAATATTATTTTATTCAAGGCTTTATAAACATTGGTGCATGGAGAATATGTATGCAAAAAGTAAACGTCATTCATTCTGTAAAATGGAAAACAGTGATATTCATATATACCAAAGGTTAATATATATACAAAACGGGCACAGATAACCAGGGAAAAAAATATCCATGTTCTATGCAAAACTAGGTACTTCCTAGCTTACTTCCAAAAGATACCCAGGTTCTATGCAAAACTAAGCAATTGGTAACATCCAAAAAATACCCGGGTACTGCTGTAGCATGAACAACATAAAAATTGAAAATACAATGTCAACATCCAAATAACCAAATTCCATGTACAACCCAGTAATATCCAAAATACATGTTCTATGGAAAACTTCCAAATACTGGGAAATTAAGATTATGATGGTGGGGGTGCTTGATTTGATGTTGTTGGCCCATCAGAAGGGTCATGACTAGCATGGGAGGAATTTCTTATTCCAGGAGAGCCCAAGTCAACAACCTGATATAGTGGGGAAAAAATAACATACATTAATCCATTAATTAATTAGAAGAATGTATGTTGAGAAAACGCAAAAATAGAAGAGAAAAGTTAGTTGGAGAATTGCAGATATTTGTGTTACTAACAGAGACAGGTACATGATAAGTACTATTTATACACATAAGAATAACTCATTTCAACAGAACAGAAATAGATTACTTAATAGGCTAGAGAGTGCAACTGAGCAACCAAATAGTCCATACACACGAAGGACCCAAGACATGTATATATATATCTCAGCAACTATATAATCCATACACACTAATAATTGAAGAAATTTTGTAATATATATACCAGAAACCATATAATACATACAGAGTAATAATGAAAGACAACTCAATATACATCCCAGGAAACATAATCCATACACAGTAATATAAAAATGATGTTGAGTATAATAGTACAAGCAACCAGTATGGTATCCATACACACAAATAATCCAAGACAATTACAATATGTATATATATATATATATATATATATATATATATATAGCAGCAATATCAAAATAATCCATACACAGTAATATTCCAAGATGTTGAGTATAATAATACCAGCAACCAGTATGGTATCTCTCTACAAACAAATAATCCAAGACAATTACAATACATATACCAGCAATATCACAATAATCCATAGACAGTAATATTCGAAAACGTTGAGTATAATACCAGCAACCAGTATGGTATCTCTGTACAAACAAATAATCCAAGACAATTACTAAAGGACAAACCAGCAATATCAAAATAACCCATACAGAGCAATATTCCAAGATGTTGAGTATAATAGTACCAGCAACCAGTATGGTATCCATACACACAAATAATCCAACACAATTACAATATATATATATATATATATATATATATATAGCAGCAATATCAAAATAATCCATAGACAGTAATATTCCAAGATGATG